TCTCTCTCTCTCTCTCTCTAATAAAAACAAAAAAAAAACAATCAATCAATCAACCAATCAATCAATCAATCAATCAATCAATCAATAAATCAATCTCTCTCTCTCTATCTCTCTCTCTCTCTCACATACACACACACGCACACACACACATTTCCGTTGATTGAATATATATATACATATATATATATGTATATATATATATATATATCATCACAAAAAGAACTGCCCTGTAAACCGTAGGCAGAGAGAGAGAAGAGGACAATATATATTTATATATATATAGCCTACTCCTTACTTCGTGCTTGTCTGACTCTCGGTGCTGTGCAGACACTGACATTGACAATGTCATCGACAGACGGAGACGCTGTTCCCGCTCGATCATCGCACATTGCAGGATCTCCGCAGGGGACGCCAGATCCTCGTCTAAGCGTCGATCGATCTCCATGTGCAGCGTGGGGGTTGTTGGGCGTTTCACCGCACAGCGGTGGTCCGGAGGTCCGGTTGGGGAAAAGGCGCCGCGGTACTGTTTTGCAAGCGACGGGAAGCGTTATTGGCCCGGGCGTGACACCCATTTCGCCTTTCGCTGGTGTGTTGGGGGCTTCTCCGTTGGGTGTGGCCAGGGTTCGTGACGCGGCCGCGTATGGAGGTGTGTATGGTGGTCTGTTGCTGCCACCCCGATTGCTGCCTCGACGGTTGGACTATGCGGCCACGATTCCTTTAGCACCTGTATGGTCACATGCGGTGGGCCCCCCATGTCCCGCTGGAGGCGGTTCCCTTTCAGAAGATTGCAGCCACGCTTGGCGTTGTCCAACCGTTTTAGCTCCACGAGTCGTCGGAGCGGCGGCGGGTTCGTCTGCGGTGCCGCCTCAGGCTCCCTTTGTTCCTCCTGATTTCACACCTCCGGTTGACGATGTGGATAGCTCTGCGGCAGTCGGCGCCGTGTTCGGGCGGCAACAACATCGTGCGTATGTGTGTGCAGGACGCGTGTCGCAGACGGTTGTACGCTCTCTGTGACGCTATGGCCGGTCTCTTTCTCTTTCTCTCTCTCTCTTTTTTTTTTTTTTTTTTCCTCTCTCTCTCTCTCTCTCTCTCTCTCTCTCTCTCTTTCTCTCTCTCTCTCTCGGAGTCAATGATTCTGAGTCAGTCTGAAGTGAATCGTTGCAGCAATCAATCACTCAATCGATCAATCAATCGGTCAATCAATCAGTCAATGTACCATTCAATCAATCAATCAACCATTCAAACAGTGAATCAATCAATCAATCAATCAATCAATCAATCAATCAATCAATCAATCAATCAATCAACCATTCAAACAGTTGGGCACTCAATCTATGTCGTTAATCAATCGATCAACTAATCAATCAATCACGTCGGGACAATCAACCCACCAAACCCATATCGAATCAATCAATCAATCAATCAACGCGATCATGCAAACAATCCATGAATCACTCACTCAATCAATCAATTAATCAATTAATCAAGCAATCAATGAAACAGTTAATCAATGAAGCAAGTGACTCAAATAGTTGGTCTATCAATTAATGGTTCACTCAAGTCGTCACTCATTGATTGATTGAGTTTGACAATCAACGCGATCATGCAAATATCAGTCGGTTAGTCGTGCAGGCTTTCAGTGAATCAACCATTCAAACAGTTGGGCACTCAATCTATGTCATCAATCAATCAATCAACCAATCAATCAATCACGTCGGGACAATCAACCCACCAAACCCATATCGAATCAATCAATCAATCAATCAACGCGATCATGCAAACAATTTATTTTTCACTCAATCAATCAATCAATCAATCAATCAATTAATCGATCAAACAATCAATGAAATGGTCAATCAATGAGGCAAGTGACTCAAACAGTTGGTCAATCAATTAATCGGCCACTCAAGCCGTCACTCAGTCACTACGTCAGTCGGTTAGTCGTGCAGGATTTCAGGCAGTTAATAAGTCGGTCAGTCTGTCGCTGCAATGAATCTGAGTCAGGCGGTCGGTTTGTCAGTCAATCAGTCCTTCAGTTGGTCAGTCTGTTTCTCAATCATTCAGTTGTCCAATGCATCACTCAGTTTGCCAGTCACTCAGTCTGTTAGGCAGAGACTCTGTCAGTCAGTTTGTCATCCATACCTGGTTGTGAGAGACCCGTTGTCAGTCAGTTTGTCAGTCATACCTGGTTGTGAGCGACTCGTTGATTGAGTCTGTCTACCAACCCGCCCACCCAAGCAACAACTCCCGACAGCCACCCCATCACCGCCGCACAGGGAACCATCCATCCACATTACAAACCACCCAACGATCTAACCCAAAACCTAACGAACCAACCGGTGGCAACTACCCAACGAACTACCCAACCAAGCAACAACCCAACGGACCATCCATCCAACAAACCAACCAACCAACCACCCAAACAACCTCCCAACCACCGTATCCAACCACTTCTGTCAGGCGGCCAGTTCTGTCATTTCGTTAGTCAGTCAGCGATGGCAGTTAGCCAATAACTCTGACGGCCAGTTTTATCATTCCATTGGTCAGTCGGTGATTATGTTAGTGAGCCATTTATTCTGACAGCAAGCAAAGGTCTCAAAACGTAAATTTGGCAGCGAATCAATCAAGGATAACTCTTTAAAGATTGTGCTATCAAACCGTATTGTGTTGCAAGCGACAAACCAAAAGAGCAATGAATCAATGAAGGATAACTCTTTGCTGATTACAGGATTGAACGTTCTTGTTTTGCAATTTGGGCCGATGTCAGCGCATGCTGGAGGGCGCGGGTTGCTGGGCGTATCACCTTATGCCAGTCCGGATGACATGCGATCAGCAAAGAGGTCTCGTGTTCTATCTCTTTCGCCTTCGGTCGTCGTCACTCCCGGCGGTGCGATTGTGCAGTCTCCGTTGCCACCCTTGTTGTCGTCTCCCGCATGCCCGTCGTATACTCCGATACATCCTTTATCGGATTTCGATGTGTTGTGTTATCTTGTGCTATCATTGCCATTGCGGCCTCGCCGTTTGGAGTTTGTGTCTAATGTCCCAACAACGCCGACGTGGACACGTGCAGCACAACCATTTCTTCCGCCTCCAGTTCTCGTTGGTCGCGACGGGTTGGACTCCATCCCCCTCGAGGAGTGTTCTCAGTCATCAACAGCGGTGTTTGCAAGTGGAGGGTCCGCGCTGCGTGACGGAGGTGGTCCACGTACAGACCCACGGGTGCAACGTTCGTGTGCCGCAGCAGTTCATGGGCAGGGGGGTGTATTGGATGACGTATGTCGTGCCTCTGGCGGGGACATACATAACCTCGGTTCCGGTCGTCACCTCTTCGTGTCTTAGTCGGACGGGGATGATATCGTACATGAGAGCGGAGATAGGGACGGAGAGCGCAACCTCCGCCCCTATCTCCGCTCTCAGGTACGGTGTCATCCCTGTCCGACTGAGAGACGAAGAGGCGACGACCGGAACCAAGGTCGCGTATGTCCCCGCTAGAGGCATGACATACGTCCCCCTTGCCTATGAACTGCTGCGGCACATGAACGTTGCACCTGTGGGGCTGTACTTGGACCACCTTCGTCACTCAGCGTGGACCCTCCACTTGCAAACACCGCTGCTGATGACTGAGAACACTCCTCAAGGGGGACGGAGTCCAACCCATCGCGACCAATGAGAACTGGAGGTGGAAGAAATGGTTGTGTTGCACGCGTCTAGGTCGGTGCTGTCAGAACATTAGACATAAACTGCAAACGGCGAGGCCGCAATGGCGATGACAGCACAGGATAACACAGCACATCGAAATCCGATAAAGGATGTATCGGAGTATACGATGGGCATGAGGAAGACGACAACAAGGGTGGCAACGGAGAGTGCACAATCGCACCGCTGGGAGTGACGCCGACCGGAGGCGAAAGAGATAGAACATGGGGCCTCATTGCTGATCGCATGTCATCCGGACTGGCATAAGGTGATACGCCCAACAACCCGCACTCTCCATCATGCGCTGACATCGGCGTGGCATTGTCTTGTGCGAACAAAGGAGGGCGGCGTTCTGATGACCTCCCGTCATCAGGAGTGCAACTGCCCAGTGCGTCATCCATGAAAGTTGGCCTGTCCTTTTATTTGCCGTACATGTGGGGGGGGGGGGGGGGGGGCGGTATGATGCTGCGAGCACAATACGCGTGAATAAAGGAGGAGGGCGTTTTGCTGACCTCCCGTCATCAGGAGTGCAACTGCCCGGTGCGTCATCCATAAAAGTTGGCCTGTCCTTTCAGACGCTGTACGTGTGTGGGGGGGTGGAAGGCGGTACGATGTTGCTAGCACAATCTCCAGCGGATGACCACATGTGAGAGGGAGGGGACCGCAAGAGCGGAGTGGGTGATCGTGGGTCAGCTCGCCCCGTGACCAACGGGTCTCGCGTGAGATGGTGGCGCGAATCCGGTCGAGGGGAGAGGAGCCGTTCAGGTCCAAGGTGCCCGACGGGAGGAGGCGGGGCAGTAGATTGTTTAGGAGAACCGTAAACCCTAGAAAAACCCTAAGAAAATCCTTACCGGGGTTCGGGTGGTTAGGGGAGGGTAGCGACGACCTCGTCAAGAAAATAAAATAATAATATGGGGGAGAGGGGGGGAGAAAATAAAATAAACAATGAAATTTTAAGACTAAAAAAAAAATAGAAATAATAAATAAATAAATAAATAAATAAATAAATAAATAAATAAACAAAAAAAGTGTGAGAAAAAAATGTGATATATATTTTTTTGGAATTTTCGGCAGCATTTTCCCAACCCACATGGGGTCAAAAATGTGCCAAGAGGAAGGAAAGAGCGAGAGGAGCACACTAACTTTCAAAATGCTGCAAATTAAAATTTTCAGAAAAATAAATAAATAAATAAGGAGGTGGAGGAGGGTGAAGATAAAAACTAAGTTTTGGAGTTTTTCAAAAATTTCGGTAGCATTTCGTTACCCCCATGGGGTCGAAGTGTGCCGTCGAGAAAAATACTAAGTAAGATGAGAAATTTTGGCCAGCACTTCGCTACCCACAAGGGGTCAAAATGTGCTGAAAAAGACTAAGTAAAGAAAAAACAGAAAATTTCGGCAGCACTTCGTTACTCCCACGGGGTCAAAATGTCTGCCGAAGCCAAGAATGACTAACTCCTAATCAAATTTGAGGGTGCCGCAAGGAAATTCAAATTTTGAGAATAAATAAAATAAAAATAAAAATAAATCAGAAAAATAATAAAAGAAGTAGGGAATCAAATAATTCGAATTTTTGGAGGAAAGGGGAAAATTTAAGTCAAAGAGAAAGAGAAAAGAAGAAAAACAGAAAAATTCGAAGTTGGGTGGGGGGGGAGATGAAAAAGTGATGAAGAAGGAGAAAAATAACTGAGAAGAGAAAGAAAAAGTAAAGTGGGAGATGAGGGAGATGATGGGGTTGTAGTTGGGGGAGGGAAGGAGGAGAGGAGGGTGGTAGAATGGGAGAGAAGGATACAAAAAAGGTAGAGAGGGGTAGATGAGATTAGTGGAAGATGGTGAGTGGACAGGAGAGGAGAGAAAAAAATTGTGGGAGATGAGTGGAGAGGGAGGTAGGAGGAGGGAGTAGTGATTGGGTTAGAAGGGATGATAAAATGATGGGGAGGGGGATTGGAAAGGGGTTGGGGGATAGTAGATTAGTGGTAGAAAGGTGATACCAGACTCTTGGATGGCCAAGAGCAGAGCTCTACCAAGATCCACAAGATCTTGGCCTTGAAGATGCAGCTGGCCTGATGCCACTGCAACGTAAAAAAAAAAATGTTGGGGTGGGCTGAGATCTTGATCGCCACCCAGATGCTCCTGTAGTGCAGCCCCCTAGCCAGGGGGGTCTTCAAGATCCACGACAAGCTGCCACGTGGCACTGCAAAGAGGCAGCACGTGCCAGCCACGTGTGCAGGCAGCCGCACCCACCGGGGGGGGGGCAAATAACTTTGCCGCACGCTGCTCGCTGCTCGCCGACGGGGGGGGGGGTAAATAGCTGTTATGCCACCTGTTTAACAACAACAAGCCACAATATTAGCTCATACTGTGGCTTTGGCCAGTGTGTTAAGGCACTGGCCACGCACGAGTATGAGCAGCACCTGCCCAGGTTCAAACCCTGGCAGTTGCAGCACTCCCAGATCTTGATAATATATATCCGGGAGGGGGGTGGGGCGGGGCAGCGTGGGCACGTAGCACGCGCGCGCGTGCGGCGGCCTTGGCCTTGGGGCTTGCGCGCACGTGTCGTGATGGTCCTCTCCTTTTTCGCCGCGTTGTGATGGTCCTCTCCTTTTTCGCCACGTGCCCTCTCTCCACCACGCTGTGTCCGAACACCGTTTTCCGGTGCTTTTTCCCCGAAAAAGCCCTGAAATTGCCTCAAAATCCCGCTATCGGGATTACACCATTTCTCCCTGTTAAGTGCGGGGGGGGGGCAGGGCGGGTGGGAGCGGGGACCGTTCCCGCTCTGATACCAGTGTGCCTGACCCGCAGATGGCGGTCTGATAGGATGGAGAAGAATGGGTTGAGGAAGGAGGAAGTGGAGATGGAGCTGGACGGGAGAGCGCAGCTCCGACGCAGACTGAACAGCGTACGTACTCCAACAGTGCAAAAATGAAGAATGACAAAAGACAGACAACAGTTGGGGTATACCCCCAGCGGACTGACTGGACTGAACTGGACTGACTTGGTACCGATAGTGGTACCGGGCCGTACGGGACCGGGCTGAAACAGTGCACGGCCTGTGGGGTCCGGCCACGACCTGGTCCCACACGCCGAACTGGCAAATAGCCAAATAGGCCCTGGCTGTAGGCCAGGGCAGATGAAGGCCCGCTGCACTCTTACAGCAAGCAAAGGTATCAAAACGTAAATTTGGTAGCGAATCAATGTAGGATAACTCTTTGAAGATTGTGCTATCAAACCATATTGTGTTGCAAGCTAGGTTACCAATGGTCCGGAGCCCGGACGTCTCCCCCGGACGTCTCCCTCGGACGTCTCCCCCCCCCGTCGTCCGGATTTCCGGACGACACCTTTTTGGCACCAAAAAAAAAAAAAAAAAAAAAAAAAAAATTATGACAGTGTTGCGCATGGCCTAGAGACCCCCCACAAAAAAATTCAGATTTTTCTGAGCATTTGCTGATAGGTTGGTATTTGGGGGGGGGGGGGGGGGGGAGAGGGGTTTTGGTGGGGATAGGAGGGGTATAGATGGGGAATGAATCTTTAAAGATTTTTATTATTTATTCTACTGGCCCAAATGATCCAAAAATTTGGTGGCATACACCTAATGCAAGGTGGAAGCCACATGATTGTTTTAAGAAAAAACATTGTTTTTTTTTTGTTTTTTTGTTTTTTTTGCGCTAGGTCGGACATGCCCTGTCTAGTCCGACGTCCGACCAGACGTCCGGTCGGACATCCCGGACGGTCAGGGGGGGTCCCGGACGTCCGGCCCGGTAACCTAGGTTGCAAGTGACAAACCAAAATAACAATGGATCAATGAAGGATAACTCTTTGCTGATTACAGGACTGAACGTTCTTGTTTTGCAATTTGGCAGTTCATCCGCTGGAGATTGTGCTAGCAGCATCGTACCGCCTCCCGCCCCCCCCCACACTTACATCGTCTGAAAGGACAGACCAACTTTGATGGATTACGCACCGGGTAGTTGCACTCCTGATGACAGGAGGTCAGAAGAATGCCCCCCTCCTTTGTTCGCACGTGACAACGCCACGCCGATGTCAGCGCATGCTGGAGGGTGCGGGTTGCTGGGCGTATCACCTTATGCCAGTCCGGATGACATGCGAAATAGCTTTGCCGCACGCTGCTCGCTGCTCGCCGACGGGGGGGGGTTAAATAGCTGTTATGCCACCTGTTTAACAACAACAAGCCACAATATTAGTCCATACTGTGGCTTTGGCCAGTGTGTTAAGGCACTCGCCACGCACGAGTATGAGCAACAGCTGCCCAAGTTCAAACCCTGGCAGTTGCAGCACTCCCGGATCTTGATAATATATATACCGGAGGGGGGTGGGGCGGGGCAGTGTGGGCACGTAGCACGCGCGCGCGTGCGGCAACCTTGGCCTTGGCGCTTGCGCGCACGCGTCGTGATGGTCCTCTCCTTTTTCGCCGCGTTGTGATGGTCCTCGCCTTTTTCGCCACGTGTCCTCTCTCTACCGCGCTGCGTCCGAACACCGTTTTTCGCTGCTTTTTCCCCGAAAAAGCCCTGAAATGGCCTAAAAATCCCGCTATCGGAATTACACCATTTCCCCCTGTTATGTGCGGGGGGGGGGGTAGGGCGGGTGGGAGCGGGGACCGTTCCCGCTCTGATACCAGTGTGCCGGACCCGCCGGGATGGCGGTCCGATAGGATGGAGAAGAGGGGTTGAGGAAGGAGGAAGTGGAGATGGAGCTGGACGGGAGAGCGCAGATCCGACGCAGACTGAACACCGCACGTACTCCAACAGTGCAAAAATGAAGAATGACAAAAAACAGACAACAGTTGGGGTATACCCCCAGCGGACTGACTGGACTGAACTGGACTGGCTTGGTACCGATAGTGGTACCGGGCAGGACGGGACCGGGCTGAAACAGTGCACGACCTGTGGGGTCCGGCCACGACCTGGTCCCACACGTCGAACTGGCAAATAGCCAAATAGGCCCTGGCTGTAGGCCAGGGCAGATGAAGGCCCGCTGCACTCTTACAGCAAGCAAAGGTATCAAAACGTAAAATTTAGTAGCGAATCAATGAAGGATAACTCTTTGAAGATTGTGCTATCAAACCGTATTGTGTTGCAAGTGACAAACCAAAATAACAATGAATCAATGAAGGATAACTCTTTGCGTATTACAGGACTGAACGTTCTTGTTTTGGAATTTGGCAGTTCATCCGCTGGAGATTGTGCTAGCAGCATCGTACCGCCTTCCCCCCCCCCACACACGTACAGCGTCTGAAAGGACAGGCCAACTTTCATGGATGACACACCGGGCAGTTGCACTCCTGATGACAGGAGGTCAACAGAACGCCCTCCTCCTTTGTTCGCGCATGACAACGCCACGCCGATGTCAGCGCATGCTGGAGGGTGCGGGTTGCTGGGCGTATCACCTTATGCCAGTCCAAATGACATGCGATCAGCAAAGAGGCCTCGTGTTCTATCTCTTTCGCCTCCGGTCGTCGTCACTCCCGGCGGTGCGATTGTGCAGTCTCCGTTGCCACCCTTGTTGCCGTCTCCCGCACACCCGTCGTATACTCCGATACATCCTTTATCGGATTTCGATGTGTTGTGTTATCCTGTGCTGTCATCGCCATTGCGGCTTCGCCGTTTGCAGTTTGTGTCTAATGTCCCGACAGCACCGACGTGCACATGTGCAACACAACCATTTCTTCCGCCTCCAGTTCTCGTTGGTCGCGACGGGTTGGACTCCATCCCCATCGAGGAGTGTTCTCTGTCACCAGCAGCGGTGTTTGCAAGTGGAGGGTCCATGCTGCGCGACGGAGGTGGTCCAAGTACAGACCCACGGGTGCAACGTTCGTGTGCCGCAACAGTTCATGGGCAGGGGGGTGTATTGGATGACGTATGTCGTGCCTCTGGCGGGGACATACGTGACCTTGGTTCCGGTCGTCGCCTCTTCGTCTCTCAGTCGGACAGGGATGACATCGTACATGAGAGAGGAGATAGGGATGGAGGTTGAGCTCCTGAGGCATAACGTCGCGGTGCGGGCCCTTCAGAGCAGTGTGGCGGGTCCTTCGGCCTGTTGGGTTCGCATTCTTCCGGTTCCACGAAGTATGTTCGTTTGTTCCTGACTTTCACTTGCAAGCAGAGAGTTTGCGAGTTACAATCAGCGATGAAAAAAGTCAGCGAAAAGTCAGGGGTCAGGAGCGATGTTATCGACCGGTTGATGCACTGGTCATTGTCTGCTATCCGGTTAGAGTTCGGGCATGATGCTGCATCGAGGATGGCAGCAACACTGCCGCCTGACATTCGTGCTGAGGTATTTCGTCTCGGAGCAGGAGGGGATGATTCGACGGCGGATACAGATGATGATGGCGAGCTTAAGGGTGCAGGGAGTGGTGGAGGCAATGGCGGGTCATTTTGTGGGTCGGATGATTCACTTCCACGTTCGAGGCATGAGTCACAACATGGACGTAGATCACGAGGGCGGCCACCATCCCGTGGCAGGTCGCATACGTAGTTTGATTATGTGCGGCCTTTGAAATGGTGTGATTCTGACGATGGTGCCCTGCAGAGCAGACCTTATCATGATCGGCCAAATGTGTTGAAAACGATGCATCACTGGAAAGGTCCGAAAGCGCCTGATGCCGCATTCGTCGAGCCGGTAAAGCTACTGCAGTTGCCCAAGTTGTTTGATTTGTGTTGCCCACGCCACGGGGGCGGGTGTCGTGTGGAGGTGTCCTCTGTTGGTTATCCGGGGCAAATTTGTCGCATTTCGCTTGCTTGTCATAAGTCCTGTCGTTGGACGTGACACAGTGCACTGGTCATAGGAACTGTGTACTCTTGCTGACTTCATGAGCAGTTGTTCCATGCCACCGTCACTGCGGGTATGACATATACCGTTCTCAACAACGTCTGCATCGCACTTGGGGTGGCACCTGTGCGTAAGCCCACTTTTTACTGTTACATGCGCGGTGAGGCAAATGTGCGAGAGGGTTGGAATGCAAAGACCGTCAGGCAGGACGTGTGGTACTGCGACTTGGCCATAGACACAGTTATGCGATCAGGGAAACCAGTCACTTACATGGTTGATGGTCGCTACGACTCGGCTAGGTCTGCACAACATTGCACTTTTACCGCGATTGAGTATGATAATCGGCTTGTGGTGGGTGTTCATACTCTTCGTCCAAAGACGGAGGGAACGGCATCGAACCAACTTGAGGCTCCTGCTGTTGTGCGCCTGTTGAGAGGCTTGCTTTCGAGGGGGTTGCAAATCAGGACTGTTGTCTCCGACGATTATGCTGCATCGGGTCCGCAGTTGGGGCACCTCAGTATTGAATGGCAGAAGGATTGCCATCATAAGGTGAAAAACATTCGCAAGGCACTGAGAAAAACCTTGATACAGAAGGTGGCAAAAAAAAAGAATAATCCTCATCAGTGCGCCTCCGAATCTCAACTCATGCAGTTCACGAAGAATGAGTTGTTGGATGCTTTGTCGGACTGTTTTGAACGAGGGTGTTTGACGCCCAAAGAAGAACGATTGAAGAAGAGTGACTTCGTTGCTGTTGTGTTGAGCAAAATGTACCCGTATGACATGACGACGAACGAGCATTCCTTGCTCGTGGATCCAGACGGTGTAACTGAGTTCCATGTACATGAGGTGGGACATTGGTTTCTTCATGCTGCTGAGCTTTGCAGAGATGAGGGCGGCGACTCTGTCACTCTGCACAATGATATCATGATGATTGTCGAATCTTGGGCGGGTCACCACTCAAGATGCGTTGGGGACAGAGAACTTTTATGCGCAAGGGGGGTGACCCATGTCGATTGCCTCTGTACACACGCGACGAGCCTGTGTATGAAATCATTTGGCAGACATTGGGCAAGCATTGCAGCACGACCGCTTGTTCGTACTACACGGAGTTCTGTCACACGTCGACGGTTGAGACCTTCCAGGGCACGATCATCATCTACGTGAAGAAGGCCTTGCACTTCGGGAAGTCGTATGAGCCGCGTTTGACAATTGTAATCATTCGATGGAACAGTCATGCATGGCAGGATCCCGTGGAGTATCGTACCCGCAGGCCTTCTGGGACTTCTATTCGTCCAAGGCCGAGCTACTACCGTCACAATCACCCACCTCAAAATTCGTGGGTGGATCTACTGTTGACGTTCATCCTCGGTTCGCATGGCATTTCTGATTGGGCTCGACGCCTTCTCGAGTACGACGATTGTGATGTGGTTGGCGAGGTTGGGTCGTCGACGCCTTCTTTCCCTCGCGATTTTTTTTGTGGAGGCGAGGAGACCATTGCCCGTGACGAGAACGCTGTTGATTCGGGTGCGGATCCCGACGTTGTGGGAGATAACAATGTTTTTATCATTGGCGTCGGGTATCAGTTGCCTGACCAACAAATGCTGTGTCTGATTGATCGTGCGATTTTCTCTCTTACGCAGATGATGTCGAGTTGTTCGATGATTGAGATTGTGTTATGTCGTAGTCTTTTGTACATGTGACTTTAATATTTGTTGGCTTTCGAGGTGGACGTGTTGATGCTCACTGTCTTTATGATCTACTTTATTTCATTGTGTGACCTCATCTCACATTCTTGTTGTTTTTTTCTCTTTTTTCCTCATGCGGTTGTATGTTGTCACATCGTATGTATATATGTATATGCGATGAGCATGGATGCTCGTCAGTTATAAAAGTGTATCAGCAAACATGTATGTAACACATATCTCACAGATAGCATTGTTTCACACCAAACATAATGGAATATGCGCATATAACATTTCAAAGCAATTCAATGATCACAACCATATTGAAGATAAAGATTTGTAAGCTTACAATTATATAGGGCCCGATAACATTACATGAAGTGTTAAGCGTCCACCAAGCTCACCCACGACTTCTCAAGTGTGACCCTTATTGTGACTCTTGAAAATGTCTGCTTCGTGTTTATTGTCGTTCAATGAATTTGAAAAATACTTATTTGAAGTTATTTTCGCGATAATGCGGCGCAAGGACTATCAACCTCTGATTATCGCTGTGCACGACGACGAGATGCGCATTCTCCGGCGGATCGGAATTCCGTAACCGAAAACCTCTCGGGTTGTTGTCTGGCCATCGTTCCCGCATCACCATCTCGAACTCGTCCGACAATTTCTGTCGAAATCGAACAAAGTCGTACCTGCGTGAGAATGCAACATACCCGTTAAATCGATTTGCTTTGGTGTTATATCTTTACGGCCGACAAGGAGGTGCATACACTCCTGTAATTCATCCTCCAGACCAACGAAAATCACAGCCTGATCCAACAACGCAGCAATTGTGGGCCAACGACTTCTAATCTCTTCGACAATCAAATTCACATCCCTGAAAGGCTCGATGACAGTCCCATCACCATAAACAACAGCATCGGCTCGCACACCGGCCAAAAATCTCCGACGGTCCATCACAATCACAGTGGAGGGTAACACGTTCTGTTACCAAGGATGTCGATGCACAAGATGACGATATCGAACGAAATGTCAAAAAAAAAAAAAGTCACACAGACTTGGGTAACTTACCCACAAAGAGGCAACAATGTAGAAAAAATATAACTCTTGAACACACTGAATAATTTGTAAAGTTCATCATGTTTTTCTGTTGCATCAACGTAACATATAGAATCAGTCAATCAACCAAGAATCCAAGATTGATTGATTGATTGCTTGATCCATTGATTGATTTCGGGATTGATTGAGTGATTTATTGAGTGATTGGTTGGTTGATTGATTGATTGATTGATTGAAGAGAGAGAGGGAGAGAGAGAGAGAGAGAGAGAGAGAGAGAGAGAGAGAGAGAGAGAGAGAGAGAGAGAGAGAGAGAGAGAGAGAGCAACATCTTCACATGTAAACTTGCAGCTCAACGACAATCATCCTTGCCGTTATATCTCTAGTGGAAATAGCAACACATCGGGCTCTCACAAGAAAGATATGAAGAGCTGGAAGATAAGAGGAATAAATGTGGTAGACTCTCTCTCTCTCTCTCTCTCTCTCTCTCTCTCTCTCTCTCTCT